AAAGCCAAAGTTTTTCTTTTCTTTCTATCTGAACATGCTCAAAATACACAGCTGAGTGTTGTTTATACGTTCTGCTTGTCCAGGATGCTAAAATACCTCATTTCAAATGAAAAAATCCAAAAAATTCTAAGTCAAAAAAAGTCGGTATTTTCGGTATCAGTATATACCGAAGTTCGGTATTTTCGGTATCGGTATTTTCGGTGTCGGTATTTTCGGTATTCGGTATACCGATACCGGTGCATACCTTGTTGGGAATTTGCAAGGATCTAAGAAACTAACATTGTCACCATTATCCACTAATTCGAGCGTTTTGACGTTCGGAAAAGCTTGTTGAACAAACTCCAATGTTTCCGTAGTGAATAATGTTGTTTTAGCAGATAGTGCAAGTGAACGAACACATTCAAAACAAAGAGAAACTGGTCGATTTGATATACATGATGAAACATATTCATTTGAAAGAATATTAACCTAACATAAAGAAAAACAACAACAATTTAAACGAAAAGTTTTATTCATTTATAAATCAAAAGCAAATCGGTTGTACTAACTATCAATTAGATGAAATCAAAACAATCTTGTACCTGATTAGATTTAGATGGTAACGTGTATATTGTATTCAGACCAGTGTTAGCATCGTGCAAACAAACTATAGAATTAAATTTTTCCCAAGTATCGGTTTGAAATGTTCTGATATTAATTGGTTTAGAGTTACGACTAGTATAATCAACAATTAGATCAAATGATGATAAACGGGGCATTTTATTGAGTAAATCATGCTCGAGATGTGAACCATCCACTATACAATCCATTAATTTCATGTTGACTGTTAAAGACTCAATTCAACTCAAGCTGCAAAGAAACGATCAATAGCACCAAAATATTTCGTACGACCTATAAAAGTAATACGACATAGGTTCTTGGAAGGTGTTGATATAAGCTATTCATTTGAAAGAGTAAGAAATCAGCAATTTTATACTATCTCTACCCAGCGAAAGAGAGACAAGCTCCATTATTATCGGCGATAGAGCAAAACAAGAGCTATGCATATTGTGATAACAATTTAAGGATCTGGTAAAAGTAGAAAGAAGAAAATAAGATAGCAAATGGAGAAAAAGAATGTAGATACACGTTTTATAGTATATACTAAGGGCGTTCCAAAAGTAATGGCAACATTAAATAAAAAACTAAAGAAGCAATTATATTTTTAAATTTTATTTAATAAATGTTCAAAGTAGTCTCCATTATTAGAAATACAAAGTTCCA